CGTTTTATCGCGTTATTTTACAGTTTCTCCGTGAAGTGTGTATATATATTATCGTGATCCTCACAGCCGTAAAATATGCAACAAACTCAGTGATACTGGTGATATATTGTGAAAATCGAGAAATTAAATGTGTTTATACATGCTAATCTCAGCTGTCACAAACTACCGTGACAGCCGAAAAATGTAGTATTATTTCAGAAATTATTTTACGATGCTACGTGATACATCAGCTAGATATCTGAGTTTGCTGTACTTTTTACAGGTTTCAGGAAAATATTTGGTTCTTCAGGGAAAAATAAAAAATAAAGCAATAAAACGCAAGGAACTTTCGGTATGTTATTTCTCGCTTCTGACGTCATCAAATCAATATGGCCGTCCGAGAAATAACAGAACCTTAATCGGAAACATATTTAATGATTCACTTTAAGAGAGTATATTTTGTTTATTTATCGTAAATGGAACAATGAAATCGTAAAATGTTGTTTAGAACATAGATATTTTTTTAAGTGTTATTAAAATTAAAATAATATAATTAAAAATAAAAAAAATTAATTTAGATGCAACAAAATACGTTTCTGAGCGTCTTGAAATTTCTTTTAACCCTCAAACCTGGCTGTTATTTTCTGTCAACGTAAATTAGTCTCATGGTCTATTATATCCGCACCTCATATTAAACAACTTTAATTTATGCTCAGAAAATTCTGAAAAAATATTTACAGGAGTTTCTTGAAATGCTAATTAAATGCCCAGATTTAATTAGATAATAGTTTATTTTTTTATATATTATCAGTTTATTATTTTATATTTTCTTTATTATTTATTTTTTATATTCTAATATTGTTTTTATTGTTTTTTAAGAAGAAATTGTCTGTTAGCATATTATATCCAAAAAATCTATAGTTTTCCGAAATTTGTCTTATAAAGAAAATGCTTCGTAAGTTTTATAATATAGAGCCTACAGCTGAAGAAAAAAATTATGAAATAATTGTCATTCAAAAAATTATGAAATAATTGTCATTCAAAAAAACAATTAGAGCGTATGAAAAAATAGAAAGAGTATATTATAAGAGAAATAATAAAGACACATTAAAATTAGAAAAAATAATTCGTATATTTTTTGTGTTTTTATAAAATGTATCATAAAATATAAGCACTTATAAATATTGTAAGTACAAGGAGAAAACATTTTATATTTGACATGAGTTTAAAAATAATCTCTTATAAACAATTTATGCAGAAGGATCTTATGAAAATGATAGCTTTAATCATTCAAACTGTTAAAATATGTTTATTTTTACCAAAAAATTTTACAAGAGACAATTTTTCAACATTCGACTATTCGTCAACGAAAACCAAACTCATGAGTTGTTTATGTTAGTTGCCAACTTGAATAGCTAGCTAGATGAGCAGGAAATAATTGGACCCGCTGGACTTCTGGCCTATGCGGTTCTTTACAACAAACTTTTTCCCCACCAGGGACCGGTCAGAGCGCGCAGAGAAATTTCACGTAAATCAAATCGCTTTACAATCGCGTCACATTTGTCCCATGAATCTGAGTTGTTAAGGTTATTAATATTCTCGATTGTGAGTGAGTAAACTTAAATAACATATTATTAGTTAGAATAAAGTTCTGTCAGTGTATAAGAAACTTTTTTTTGGTAACAAAAGCAATATTCATTCGTAAAATGATTGAAACATTATGATATATGGACAAACAAAGTAAAAGTGGCCCGTAATTAAGAACCGGTAGAAGAGAATACTTCTCGTGGAGATTATGGAATTACTAGTCAGAATACATATTTTATACGTGATCTTCATTGATCTAGGCTGTTAGCCATCTTGGCACCAAAGCAAAATGGCCACGTTGTATGTTCGTATTTCGATTATTCTTACAATTTTATATTATTATATAACAAAACAGGATCGTTGCATAAACACATAGGAGAAGATTGTCCCTGTCATCTCTGTACAGTCAATTACAACAGTTAATTGATTGAGAAATTTTAATCAAAATTTTGAAAAATATAACAACTTGCCCTGGTCTTCTCTAATAGTTATCTTCACAAAGAATATTCTCTTGATAATAGATTTGAAACATACTCATCACAAATTTTAAAAAAGCTCATTTTATCATTATATTGAAAAGAAAAATTTATTTTTTTTACAAAAATATTATACAATTTTATCCAAAAAAATGTTGGTTCATCTCTAGTACCCTTATGAAAAAAAAAAACGAAAAAAACCTCAATTTTGGGTGTAAACACCCAAAAACTAAGAATAAATACCTAAAGGAGGATATGACTTTTAGGCGATTTGAAGACCGCTAGATGAACGCAAATTTCCTATTTTTTCCCGTAGAATTTAAAAATCGACCTTAAAATTACGCTAAGTAAAGAGAAAAATAGTTATAAACATTTAAACGTTAATTTTCCCTGAAAATCATGTATTTTCCAACATTACCATCTTAAATACCTTTGACCTTTTTAGAGGTGCTAAATCTCACGTTACATAGGAGATTTATTTTATCAAAACTTGATAATGATATGAGAATATACTCTAAGCAGCAGAGAAAAAACAGCAGTCAATCGGCCGAAATGGGTAACTAATTCCGAGCTCTGCCTTAAACGGAACGATTTGAGCGGCGAAAGCTACTATATGCTCGAGAAGAGGTTCCTTATATGCTTTTGTTTATTAATGCCCTGTATAATCCTGAAAAAGCTGAAAATCTACAAAAATTTTATAGCTGAAAAGCTACAAAATCACTTTTGTACTATTTTGATAGTTAATATTTTTTTAATTGATTGCTGCTTTTTCTCTGCTGCTTAGAGTATATTCTTATATCATTATCAAGTTTTGAGAAAATAAGTTTTCTATGTAACGTGAGATTTAGTACTTCTAAAAAGATCAAAGGTATTTAAGATAACAGTGTTGAAAAATGTATGATTTTCAGGGAAAATTAACGTTTAAATGTCTATAACTATTTTTTCCTTTTCTTAGAGTAATTTTAAAGTCGATTTTTTAATTCTACGGAAAAAAATACGAAGGAAAAAATAGGAAATTTGTGTTCACCTAGCGGTCCCCAAATCGCCTAAAAGTCATATCTTCCTTTGAGTGTTAACACCCAAAATTGAAGGTTTTTTCGTATTTTTTTCGTAAGAGTAAGCAACCCGAATTTTTATTTTAATATTTTTGATTGAGACAAACTTTATTAGAATTCAGAATGTATGTTGAATAAATTTGATGTTTAAAATAAATTCTTATGATAGATTTGTGGATATAAAAGTTTGAATTTTTTTCAAAGTCCCTTAGAGACGAAAATTTTCTTTGGAATCTTGGAGTTTCGTTGAGAGTTCTATCAATTATCTTTAAGAATTTTTGCATAAAAAGTGTTGGTTGAAAAGTTATAACTCTTTGAAGTTACACAATCGTGAACTTGATCCCCCGTAATTTTATTAAAAAATTCTTTTTGGAATTTTGACGTTTTGTTGGGAATTCTGGTAGTCTCCCAAAGAGTTCTATAGATTATCTTTAAGAATTTTTGCGTTAAGGTTAAAGATAAAAATGTTATAACACTTTGACTCTGTAATTTCATTTTGTGTTTTGACCGCTTTAATCGATGGAACTCTTTTTGTTATCGAGAGAACTTTAGAATTCTTTGGGGGACAACCAGAAATCTATTTATTTTTCCAGATTTTGAAAAAGTAGGGCCAATTTCACAGACGTTATCAAGAAGTTAGAATAATCGGCCCTATATAATATATATTTTTCTGTATATATTTTTTATTAAAAAAAAAAAATACAAGATATATTTTTGTAAATGCTTTAACGATACTACAGGGTGCGGCGCCAAAATCCGGACAAATTATACATTTTTTCCAAACATATTTTTTTATTGCAAAAACGAAAAGGTTTACAAAATTGTTTTAACCACATTGTTTGTAAGGCCATAAAGAACACATTTACTCAATATATCCCCTGCTTGTTTGAATGACCGCCTCCATTCTCGGTCTGAAGCATGCGCTTTAATGTGTCACGGTCCATATCGGTGAATGCCGCTTCAATAGCGGCTCTCAATGATGCGACGTTTGGATGTCTGGACTTGTTTCTGACCCTTTCAACTACGCTCCATATATAGAAGTCCAAAGGATTCAAATCTGGGCTGTTGGGAGGCCAAAATTCTTTCGACCAAAACATGTCGACGTTGTCCGATAACTAATTTTGCACCGAATGAATTGTGTGGGCGGGCGCACCGTCCTGCTGGAAAACATACGGCTTTCCAGACGACACAGTTTTCATCCACGGCTTCACTACATTTGTCAGAACACGCAAATAAACTTCTTTTGTGACATTTTCCCCTTTGTTAAAGAAATGCGGTGGCATGACATCACTTTTACTGGATGATGTTGCAAAACCTTCGTTGGACTTCTCCGACTCATTGTACTTTGCGACGACATCATACACAGTCTCATATACAGATCTCGGGTACCCGAAGAACCGAATGATTTCTGTCGCCGAGCGCCCAGCGCGAACACTTTCGATAATCGCGGCTCTTCGGTCATAGTCCGCACTTGGTTTCAACATTGCGACTGTTTCGAGGTTATGATGGTTTAGTACATGCGTCAAGCTATTTGAACGCTAATCGCGACATCTACCAGTGGTATAGAACGGCGAGAATTTCAAATTGAATTTTGTCCGGATTTTGGCGCCGCATCCTGTATATTTTACGTCAAGATTAGTTTATTATAGATAGATAGATATATCTATCATGATTCCTATCTCGACTCGTTATTCATATTTTAGAAAAATTGCAATAACATTGTTATCGGAAATGTACCTGGAATTATTATACTTCTATTTTTATAGTCACGAAACCTCATCTTCTTCGTGTACATGGTGCGCATTTATCTTTCATCGACTTCATTCCCCAATTTATTCCATCACGATAGGAGTTATTGCCACACGGCCGTTGTTATAAATGTCTGAACGCTACGTTTGTTCAGGAATAAACAAAACATGAAGAAGGAGAAAGAGAAAACAACGTCTGGTCGGAAAAGCAGCGCAGACACTGCGCCAAACGCCAAGAGTCTGCAACAACAGCCGGAAGTTGGTCCAGCATTCTTGGAATCAAAAGGTATCGTGAATCTTTTCTACTAGCGGACAAATCGATGCCGTAAAAGTTACTGCACTATTTTTCTCGCTCAAGTTATCGTGACTTTACCTACGTATGAAATATGAAGCGTTATGTCAAACGGCGAGAGAAATATTGGCTAAAACTACTTCTCACTTTTTTCCGTTACTAAATAATTTATTTGAAACTTTAAATTATGTCCTAATTGCGAAAATAATTTCTTTCATTGTATTATATTGTTTATTACGATGGTATTTACGTCAAAATAAATTTACGGATATACATTCAATATTTCAATGTGCGCGCACAGATGACAGTTTATTGAAATATTCACTATTTAATTGTAATTTATGACTGATCTATTATTATTGATAATACATACATTCGTGGAGATTAACAACTCTGCAACGAGGAGAATATTTTAGTAGGATTCGACGTGCGCACATCTCGCAAACTCGACGTGGCGCAAATATTCCAGACAAAATATTCGAGACGACCCAAGCGCGCTGTTAAATTCAATATTTCGTGCAATTGCAGACGAGGAGACGGCGAAATTAATTCCCCGAGCCCCGCGCGTATAAGCGGCCCCGGTTACTACGAAGAAGGAGAGAAACGAGTTCTCCTGATCATGGAAAATTTAAGACGCCGTTTGGCAACGACGCCACGACGCATCTAGAAGAGCCCACCGGTGCTTATCGGGAGTTTTCAGCTAGTAAACCGAAAGCGATGGTCTATAGCGATGGTAACACGGTCAGCCTTGATTCCACCAATCAATAAACCCATTTCTCGAAAATAAATGAAAAAGCCTGTGCAGCATTTATTGCGACAAATAAATGCGGTATAACGGATAGCTCTATTTGTTTCATTTTGCTACCCCGACATGTTTCTAATAAATGAATAACACAAAAAAACGCTGCAAGATATTCAGAAAGAGACTGAGTAAGAAGGAGAAAGGAAGAAAGAGTGATAAATGATTATATAATTAACATCTTCAATTTAAAATAATTGTGTATGCGTGACCTTCAGGACGGTTTCTTTTTTAAATAAGCATATCTAAATTTCTTTTATTTTTATTGATATTTATTTTAAAGAATTTTGGAAAATAAAATACAAATATATATCTAATTTGTATTTGCTATGTGTTAAAAAATAGAATGATTTAATAAAATCATAAAAAAAGATTTAATAAAAAAGTTTAATATTTTACTACACGCAACTTTACTTTAGTATATTATTTGACGCACAGTATGCTATGTTTGAAAATTTTATTAACAAAATACTGATCTGCAAAGTTTACGTTTTATATTGATTGCAGTTACAACTACTTTTACACAATAAAAGTACATGCAAGAATTAATTGGAGTATTTTTCAATATATGACGAAAACGGTAAAAAATTTCAAAATTGATATCTCGAGTTGCCAGTTAGCTTAAATATGTTCCTGATACAAAAGTTCTGCAGCTTGTACATATGATATATGTATAGTTGAATTAATGTTTGCTCTGTTCAACAAAATTTCAAAGAGCATTGGTATATTTTTATAACCAAATTTAGAAACTTCAAAATGTACGGAAAATTATGCAAAAATTTTCTAAAAGGATGTCTAACGCAAAATATCCTATATTTCGTGTACATATAGATTAGATCAAATTAAACACAAAATTTCTGTATTATTTTGCAAATAACCATATGGATTTTTTAATTATTAATTAAAGAAGATTAACAGATAATCGCGCGTGATAATGCGTCAATCTTTTAATTAATAACTCAGAATTTTACGTGATTGTTTACAAAATGATAAAGGAATTTTGTATCCAGTTTGATCTAACTTAAATGTGAAGTTTGGAAAACTTTGCGTCTGCATATGCATGATTAGATTTTTTATGGAGAAACAAAGTAGTATATATTTATGTATACAAGAAATTCGAAAAGGATAGCGTGATTGTGTTAGGGAGAATGTTATTGACATTTTTAGAATACATCATCCACTTTAGCGCGCGTCCTCTTAACGAGTTAATAAATAATTTTAAACCTCCAATTTCACGGGGAGAAATTTTCGTCGTGAAATACGCTTCGCGAATAATCGATTGCTTAACGGAACGATAGTTTTATCGGCCGTGCACCGGCATTTTCCAATTACTCGTCGAATTCCGATCGATCGATCGAGCCATCGCGCTTCGCAGAAAGTCGGGTGATTCAAGTAAATATTACGAGTTCCTACTTCACCAGCTATTGGAATTGTGATCGTCGACGTACAGATTAAACCGAATGGGAATTTAGGTGTACGTGGCGATAATACAAACGTCATGCGCGATAGTTGCTACGTGACGCGATACACGTGTAATATGAACTTGTCTAACGTGATAATAATGCATCCTTTATCACGCGCGCACGCGTGCGCAACGAAGATCGCATTGCAAACGAAATCGGTGGTCGCCGGAAAATCATGAATAATATCTGCGTCGTTATTATGTGCGGAGTTGCTATAACAATTTCTATGCTATTGCCGTTTCTCGACGAACGGCGCGAACAATCGCGCCCGGCCGTGTATGCCCGCGTAACGAATAAATAGCCGAAAGAACAGTTACGCGAGGAGAGAGAGAGAGAGAGAGAGAGAGAGAGAGAGAGAGAGAGAGAGAGAGAATTCACATTGTACTTGCAAACGCGTTCGTTCAAGCGCGCCAAAACTACATCGTAGAGATCATAAATAACATAGAAAAATTTTATGTGAGAAATTTGGCGTTGCGAAATATAATTGATTTGTTTGCTGCTCTGTTCACGTAGTGGTATTTATTTTTACTCTTTCAGTGAATGTTCCGCGAAATGAATATCTTCTCTAGAAATCTATAAAAAGTCCAAGATCTCGTTGAAACCAACGATCTGAAGTGACCATTATTTACGCTAATAATAACTAGAATCTCTATAAGATAGAGTCTGGCCACATTCCTTCTTATTGGTTGAAACAAGGTTTGGAAAAACATGGCAGAACCAATAGAAATTGTCATGAGAAGCAGGATAATTTGAAAAGAGCGATCGGAGAGGAAAGTGCTCGAGAGAATTTGTGGTTGAAAACTGTAATTCATGGTAGTGTCAAAAAAGTAAAATAAGAAAATTATAAACAATTAGTAGTCTCTTTTATTAAAAATTGTGAAATAAATAAATAAAAACATAATTTTGATTGTAAACTTGAAACATTATTAATCTGTAGGAAGTGAATACGGTGAAAAGACTTTCTGATAATAGTTTTTGCATCGTGGAACACAACACATTGACATTTTGAAATCTGAAAATTCATATTTCGTATTGCACTATGTTATCAATTGCCTTTTCAGATACTGTTCAGAATAATATGAAGTTACGATGACAATTTATATAATGAATATGATCTTTTATATAATATCGCAATTTTTAACTCAATTAACTTTTTTATTTTACTTTGGAAACAACATACAGAATAATTTTACTTATTTCCATTAACAATTTATAACCAAACTGACACTTTTATCTTGTAACGCGATAAATACGAGTTGCATTCATATATATACGGTCGCCATGTTTTTTCAAAACTAGTCGAGTAGCCAAACTCTATCTTATAGAGACTCCAATAATAACTACGAATGTGAGGTACTAATATAGTATAGTATTAATAAATTTAAAACATATACGTATTTATATGCAGGATGTTTATTCACGTTTTTCTGCGAGGACGCGCGTTAAATACTGCCTAATATTTGAGAAATTGATTTTTGTAAAGAAAAGTTTATATAGGCATATAGTATCAAGAAGTCTGTTTCAGAGAGACACAAGATATTAAAAATCCTCAAACTAAAAGAAAATGAAGTTAGAAAATAAATTTTTTAAGTGCTCTATCACAATTAAAGAACGTATACATATTTGGCGGTAAAACATTAAATTTAAAATAAATTGCGCATCTTGCATTTTACAAAATCAAACGCATTAAAATATTGAAACACAAGTATTTCTCAAACTAATGACTTTATTGAAGTATATCAAGAGTCCTTTTTTGTAAGTAATTAATAAAATAATAGAAACTTGCAAATTTAATTCCGTCCATTGGCGCACAAATTTGGGATATTAATGTATTACTTAAACTCCGTTTTTACGCTTTTGGTTTTTTACAAAACGGCGATTATAAGTCAAAAATGAATACCCTGTCTATTTACTTATCCGAGTTCGAAAAAAAACCTTTTTTCGTTTAAGGATTATTAAGAAAAAAACTAAGACTATGGGTAAAAATTAATTACAGTACACCTTAAGTGGGTCAGAGATATTCCAAAATAAGCATATCTTCGCAGGGTTCAAATATAGCTAACATAGGAAAATTCTGAATGGAATTTGGTGAATAAATCATGAATTCATAATAACGTTAATGTCCCAAATACACAGAGAAAACGATTTATCGAATCAAATAAATGTTTCTTTAGAATAGTCTAAACAAATTATTTGGTTGACACAACAAAAATATTTTTTTGAAACTAAACCGCAAATAAATATTTTTACATCAAATAACATTTTATTTAATCAATCAAAAAATTCGTTTGGACTATACCAAAGAAATGTTTATTTGATTCAACCAAATCGTTCTCTCTGTGTAAGAGTTGTATGCTATAATAAGTCTCAGTCAGAGGCAAGTTAGCCAATTCCTGAAATGAGTTCAGTATAGCTTCGAAAAGACTTCAAAAAATTCATCATGATAATATTCAAATAAAAATCCAAATTAGCTAAATTTGATTTTGATTCTTAAAAACAGAATTATTTAGAGTCTCATGATCATTTCAGTAATAGCCAGATCAAGTATCGGTACGGAATATCGCAAAACGTAACTTACTGGACGGAGAGCTGACTAACGAGTGACATCTTGATGGAAAAAATACGCGCTATTTTTTAATAGACATAATGAATAGGGGACATAAAAGGCCGCGATAAGAGAAGACACGTCTCATGATGTGATTTTTCAGGAAAACCAATCTTGTGGGCCAATCTTGATGGAGTGCCGCTGCACGCGCGCTTAAGAGTTAATCCCTGTTTTAAATTTCTCCTCGAATATGTTCGTATAAATTTTTGCTTCACAATGACCTCAAGAATCATTTTCTAAAATGTTGTGGATAATACTTAAAAAAAACATCTTATATATATATTTAAATATCTGTTTCGATAAGACGAAGGATACATTTGATCCAACTATCAAATCGGTTGCTTCCGTTTTTTATCGAAATAGAGTTCGCCCCCTTCGGTGACTTTTAAATCAATTCCGGTAACAAAGTGCTCGTACTAGTAGATAGTAGATAAAGTGGTAACGGTGCAAGTGAAGTTCGCGCGCGCGAATCTGGTTTGGATCAATATTAACTACATTGGCCACATTCACTCGCGGCTTTTATTTTCGATTTCTGCCGTTCTAACAGTCCTCGCGTCCAACAAAGAGAAAGGGAAAGAGAGAGAGAATAACTCTCTGTCCGTCGTATATCATCTCGCTGTCGCTTCTCTTCCGTTCTATCGAGCCTTTTTCCTTTTTTTATATTTGCTTGCGGACGAGCGATCTCGTCGAACTAGTCGGCACGGCCCAGTTGTCGTCGCAAAGCCACGTGACGTATCGAAACTCGCGAAGACGCCATCGATCGTCACACATTCCGATCCGTTTTCCTCGCGATTACCACCCTCGCCGCTCTCCCTCTCTATCCATCTCCGATATCTTATTTCCCTTTTTGCTTTGTGCATGGAGTCGTAATTGAAAACTGCACACAGCGTTCGACGGATCCATTCGGCGAAAATTCTGACGTTTTTCTTTTGTCATTTTGAAGAATGTCACGCGGTGAGCTCCGATATGACGAGTAAGAATATTACAGAAAACGTCGGAATTACACGCAAGGAGTATAAACAAGGAAAGAATCTAGGTCAATGCTTCTACATTATGTTTGATCACATCGTGCCTCCATCTACCGATTGCGATGCAAAATTGATCAAATCCTATTTCCCGTGAAACTTCCGCATGCACGGAGAGAATCCGAAGC